ACATACTTAGTGAATATAATGACTGAGTGACAGAAGAAGGGAAAAGTCACTTGTTATGCTTATTTATTTGCTTATGATTAACCATAAATTTCAGGTGGCCAGTAAAAGGACACATCCAGCTGAGGAAAAATTTCTCAGCACACTGGGTTAACTTTAGTAACTGCTTACCTACCCTCCAGAATGAACACCAACATAAGGTGATTGTCAGCATTCATTCTTGGGTAAAATATGTAACTTCAACTGAAGATTAATGGTCAAAGAGAAGCAATGACTGGGTTTCTACATAAATTGCTAGTGCTAGGAGGGTTTGAAAGATAATCTATCCCTTCTCCTTGTTGGGATAATAAAGAAACCCAGACCCAGAGAAGTCAAGTGAATTTCCCCAAAGTCATACGGTGATGTAGACGCATTACAAGACAGAACTCAAGTTTCTAGTCTCCTCACTGTTATGATAACTCTCGGAGGTAATTTACAATGAAGAACTAAGCAGAGAAAGTGCGTGAGGTAGACGTTGAGCGTCACCCTTCTCTACTAGAAATCCGTCACAGAACACTGCTCAGCAGCCTTAGATATCAGACATAATCCCGCACAGTAATTTTAATGATGGAACAAACTGAGATCCATGGAAAACCAACCTGTCCACAACCACACTAGATGGTGACCCTGGCCAGCGTGGGACAGAAGAATGAAGCCTCTGGCTCCAAGACTCTGTTCTCTTCACTACACCCACTGCCTCCCAACCATATGTCTGCCACCCCTATCATAAACTCAGCTAACCTACCTCCTGGTATCAAGTACCAAATAAGGAACACTCTTTCTGAACAAAAGAACCTTTTCTAAAGAGGGCTCAAGGTATACTATGACAGTTAGACAGCTCAAGAATTCTGCCAAATTTTAGGGGCTGCCTTCTCAGTTAAAGTTTAGGTCAGCAATGAATGAAGTTGTCTGTCTACCAATGTACTAGGCAAATGTGACATTCTCTTATTTGAAGTGAATGTTCTACGGTCCCCACTATGATATTATTATTGAGTATTTGTTTCATGGTCTCATCTACCAATGAGAGACAATATATGAAGACAACCACAAAACCTGCATCCAGGGCTCCAGGTTATAAATCCCTTGCATCACATCCACTATTTCTTCCGACCCACACACAGCAGTGTAATAAAGTAGCCATTCTGATCATCATTTTGCAGACGAGCTAACTGAACCCAGAGGATAAAAGGCCTTGAACAAAGGCCACAGGGCAAAAACCTGGACCTGTCTAAAACTGCCTACCCATCAAAGTGCATGTGTTGGAAGGGAACAGAGATGAGGGAACAAAGAGACAGAAAGGCTTGGCATGGATTTATCAAATCTCCGCTCTCGTGCTAATCCTGTATGTTGCGTGTTCTTTCTTTGGAACTACTGTCTCATGGGGTAAAAAGGTGCCCTCAAAATCTGGGAATTATGTAGTCCTATAACTAGCCACACATCAAAACAATGCCAGGGAGCAGCAAGACCATTTCACTGACCAGAATCCAACTGCCTTATGCATCTGCTTTGGTGCAAATGAGTAACCAGAAAAAGGCAGAACCTTCTGCAAACAGCTTCAGAATTTTCTGATGCGAATCTGGATTTCAGGATTCATCAAATGAGGGAAAAAGAGGGAAATAGATTCCAGCTGTGAAGAGAATTAGGTATCAACTCAACTTCAGTGTGAACCTCAGGCCTTCCCTTCTGACACTTGGGTATTGCATCTATAAAATGGAGATAATCTCTACATAAGGGTTATAGTGAGGAGTACATAAGCTAACTTCTATATAAAAGAAGCTAACAGACCTTAGAAAGACAGTAGATGCTCCTTTCTTCCTGTCTGAGGATAGTCTCTGCTGCTCTCATATAACCTGGTACACCAGGACCAATGCACAAAAAACAGGCAGTGATACTATTACATAATTGAAAGGAAAAGAATCAAAGGACCAATGCACAAAAAACAGGCAGTGATACTATTACATAATTGAAAGGAAAATAATCAATTTCAGAAAAACTACCTCGAGATGATTTGTAACTGTATTTATAGAAGCAATCAGCCAGAAGACAGCTACTCAATGGGAAGTAAACTTCCTCTGGTGTTCTCTGACAACAGATTTTTTTTGGCCTTCAGATAAGAGAGGATTTTGCTTTTTCACCAAGAATTTAACATTCCAAAAAGGTATGTAAAACAAGTTACACTGTGTGCATATTTCCACTTACGTAACACTTACATAGCACATCAGCTTTTATTTTTTCCAGATACAAGGAGATGAAACTTGGTATATATTCCTGTGAGAGAACAAACAGAAAACTATGTCTCTCTTTTTAATATATTAGTGCCCTGTAATACAGACCATATGATCAATAAACTATATAAAAATTAAATCATACTGACAGTCTTAGGCAAAAAGTGAACCAAGTAGAAACATTTTTTTTTGTAGGACTGTGGTGTGTGGAATATTAAAATCATATGTTGTGTTATTAATTTTCTTTTGGAAGCCAAAGAGAGTTCCCCTGCATAAATTTCTCAAGTAAATATTTACCTTACAGCTTTTCCTATTAAAGGTGATAGAAAGGCATTAAATCAATGATGTTGTTATTTGGTCTATCATAGGAGAGACACTGATAATAAGTCACTTTGAAAATGACTTTGTTGACATGGTGTTAATGGCAAGGCACATACCCTTAAAATGGATAGCTAATGGTCATGTTTTTACCTTTTTTGAGGCAAACAAAAGCATTTGTTCAAACAGACCAACAGTGAATAAACATGATAAACAGATATTAACTTTTTGAGGGGGGAGGGGGTACACAGGGTGAGTTGAGGCAGATGAAGAACTAAAACGTGTAAAGATACACCTTGCTTGCACCTTCAATGCACAAGAGTGTCTTGGGGTTTCTGCCTCCCTGGTTAAAAACTATAGCTGATAGGTGTTCCTTTTGCAAATTCCTTCACACTCTTCCTTTATAAGAATCTTTATAACACCATCTCTTGGGACTGCCTTCTGAAATCAGAAGAGTGGAAGGGAGGAGAACAATGTAATAGTACAAAGGCTGTCAAGCATGCTTTCATAATCACAGAGTAGGAGGTGAAAGGCGCACTGCACAGTCTAGAAAGAGTTTTGCCTACCACCAACAAAACACACCAGTAAACACTGGGAAGCAAGAGTTTTGCCTACCACCAACAAAACACACCAGTAAACACTGGGAAGCCCCAGGCAAGTTTACAGCAAACAGCTTCAATGTGTTTAGTGTTTCCCTTGTACTCCCCGGGGTCGGAGGAGGGTCTTTTAAAAATTCAATAGCTTGGCAGGGAGACTTTTAAGTACTAATCTTCCCACTGAGCCCATAAGCCAGTGGCCTTCAGGAAGGGAGGCCCCCCAGTGACAATTCCTTTACATAACATCTTAATGTTGAATTTCTATTAAGAGGTGGGACTGGGACTTGCCACCTGAACTACAGTCACCTTTTTCCCATTCCACAGTGCACAATTTTACCGTCTCTCTGTATCTAAAGGGGGCTGCTCTTATTTTTAAATTCTTAAAGAGTTCCATCTTTCTTTGCTGCTCAAAATTTACTAGGAACAGTCAAGCCAAGGACAGATGGACCTCACTCAGTAGGGCTCTGCTACAAAGAGTCATAAACACAAGGGAAGTCTAACTCCAGTCCAATAAGTCTTTGGTTTGCACACTCTGCATGGACAAATCCATTTCAAAGGGGACTTGAGACTCCATGCAGGAGTTCTATTTTAAGGCAGCTGAATTGGGAACACAGATGTTTCTTCAGTTAGCAGAGCTGGCAGAACAGCTCCTGGACTAAATCCGAGTTCTTAAAGGAGGAAGGGGCCTAGGAGAGCATCTGTTTCAACCCACTCACTCACCTGATGAGGAAACTGAGGCCAATGTGGCAGTTAAGTGGCACACCCAGCAAGTGGCAGAGTGGCAGTGTTCTGACGACAGGCCCTGAGCGCTTTCCATTACACCATGAATCGCTTTTTAAAATACATTTTAGGCTGACTTCAACCTTGGAACTCGTGCAAATGCATGTCAATAGCTTTCTCCCTGCCCCCACCGAGCTCATAAATCCTCCTACTCTTCTACTCCATTCCTCTAACTTCCACCGCTCTTCGAGCTGGGGTTTCCAACCAGTTTCTTAAACAAGTGTACTATCGCCCCAACTTTCTGGGAGTGCAATTAATTGCGGTCCCCAAACATGCTCGCGGCTTGGCTTTCCCAGTGCCTCAGTTTCCTCGTAGGTGAAATGGGGCTCCTCACCGGCACTGCACCGAGTCGGGAACAGGGCTAGTTAAAACCGAAGCTCAGAAACGACCTCCTACTGGCACACAAGTAGGCGCCTAAGAAGTGACTGCTAAATCGATAACCCGCATCGAGCCCCTAGAATGCACCTTCCAAACCCCTGGGGGCGTTCAGGAGAAAAGCAAGTGAAAAGGCCAGCTTGCAAGTCCGGCCGGGCCGAGGCTGCCACAGCGGAAGGGCTGGATGTTTACACACAGCCAGAAAGAAGGCAGCTCGGCTCCACGCAGGAGCCCGGCGTTCCAGGAGATCCATTTTACTTGGATGGAGGGCCACAAGCTACGCGGTGGCTCTAGGTCACGGTTCAGCCAACTTCCCCTATCCTAAAAGTTCGAACCCACACCTTCCGTGGGATTCTGCCTGTGATTCCAACTGGATACGGCTTTTAAGGAGCCGGTTTACAGTTGCCCGAGAAAGCCTAAACACGCCTCAACACCCATGCACAGGCCGGGGAGCCAGTGGGATCGGGGAGGGCGGGGGCGCGGGGCCAAGCGCGGCGCGGAGCTCCCGAGACGGCTGCGGGGGCCTCCGGGGCTGACAGTGCGGGGCGGCGCTGCAGGAGACGCGGCCTCGGGCCAGCCAGGAAGCGCCGAGCCCCGCGCGCAAGCACGGGGCCGGCCTGGGACGCGCGCGGCGCGCCGAGGGGCCGAGGGGCAGCGGGGCTGGGCTCACCCATGAAGAGGCAGAAGAGGTCGAGGCAGATGAGCAGCACTCGCTTGCTGCCGCCCTTCCTCGGGTTGTTGTTGAGCGCCGGGCTGCCGCCGTTCTTGCTCTCCGGGGCGATCGCCTTGTCGTACTTGTAGTTTTGCATGGCGCTGGAGACGACGCGAGCCTCCCGCCCCGCGAAGACGCCCCGCGACAGCAGCCACACGCCCAGACGCCCGGGTCTCCTCCTGGCCGAGGCTGCTCGGGAGAGTGGAGGGGTCGGCCGGGGCTCGGGGCGCGGCGGCGAGAACGCAGCCCCCGCCGCCCGCTTCCAACTGCACACAGTGGTGTTCTCTGATCCTCTGGTGCTCCTCCGCTTTGCTTTCTCAACCCCAAATCTTTCTAAAGTCCAAGGGGAAGAGAGCCGAATCCCGAGCAGAAACTTTTGCAGAGGTGCGCTGCGCGGGACGCGCTGGGCTGGCGTGTGTTTGTGTGCGCGCGCGAGCGGGTGGGCAGCGCGGGCGCGGGGCCACCTTCCTCCGCAGCGGTTACCTAATGAATGGGAGCTGCGCGGAGCCCAGCCACTCCGAGCGCCTGCCCCAACTCCCAACTTTTCCTCCTCCTCTGGCTGCCGCTGTGATCGCCTGGGTTTGTTTTCTGCACTTTTATTTCACTAGGTCCTTTTAAAAAGAGAGCGAGAGAGAGAGAGGGAAAGAGGGACCTCCTTACTTGGCTCTGAAGGGATTCAGAAAGCACAGCCCCTTCCTTAAGCTGCCTAAGACGTAGGATAATTAAGGCCACATTTCCCCCCACCCCCTTCAAAAAAAAAAAAAAAACTAAAAGGAAAAGTTACTCTCGAACCGGAGAATCCGGGAGCCCCTAGCGTTCAGAAACACCAAATTGTCACAAAAGGAAAAAATATATGCAAATGAAAAGAAACATTTTCTGGCTGGCCTTAGGTCAGGCAGAAGTTGAGGCTGTACAGCTAAAATGAAATTACAAATTTGGGGCATTCAAGTCTGTTTTTATTTGAATCTTATTATCCTGAAAATTCTCAAGGAAAACTGTTTTTGGTTTTTTTAAGATCTCAACACCAGCACTGGATACAGTGCTAGATTCTCAGGGAAGGAAAATGAAAAAGACTGCACGACTCTGGAACTGGAATCCGTGGATTTGAATTCTGACTGTGGCCCCCTGCCTCAGTTTCCTCATATGTAAACTGGAGATAATAACTATTTCTCCCAAACAGCAAAATTCTGAAGATTTAATTAGTGGAATCATGTAAGCACCTCGAACAGTGTCAGCTACATAGGAAGTGTTCTCTGAGGGTTAGCCCAAGACCTTTATTCCTGTCTCTGAGGTGGAGTCCTAGGGCCCTCTGCTAGTTCAGCTGACCTCTAGCCTGCCTGTACCACTGGGGGTGGTCGGGCCAGCAGGAGTGCTCTCTGGAGGTATCTGCTCAGCTTGTGTTTGGGGGCAGTCTAATGCGTTGCCTTAGAGGTTGTCATACTATTTTAAATTATTTATGTGAGTTAATCTTTCTTCCAGATAGAATATAAACATTTCCAGAGCAAGGATCTTTCCTTACATTTTCTGTAGTGCCTAGGAGAGATCTACACACGCATGGACAATAAAAGGACACTTCTCCCAGATATCTCTTTCTGTGCATCCAGATACAGAAATAGTTGTACCTTCCAATACATTCACACTGACTTGTTTCACGGTTCAGTAACCCTATATCCACCGTCAGCCACCTGTCCTTTCGGAACAATCTTTCACACTCCACACCCCTGCCCGTTCTACTCCCTCTGCCAGTAAGGCACATCTATTCCTTCTCTAGCTAGCAAAATGCTTCTCTTACTTTAGAGTCCTCTGAAATGTCACCTTCTCTCTGGACCCTTTCTTGACCCTTGGACAGAATTAACTTCGTCTTTAACACTTTGCTTGTAACACTCTTGTAGCACTTACCACAGTCTGATTTGGTGTTACAGTTAGTAAAAGCTAGTCAGCTCTATAGATGATCACTCCACAGCATCTCCCAGTACCTAGCACAGGGCTTGGTATCTGCTGAATTATGCTCAAGTCCAGACTGGATAACAGCAAGCAGGCTGGCAAAGAAAGGCAAAAATGCTGTTCTCTGGAATCAAGAGTGACTGAATCTCCAAGACGTCTAGAGAGCTGGGGTATCCCGTGGAGCCTCAGTCACAGCACTGATTCCAGCAGCAGCAAGAAGGGCCAGGGTAACTCAAACAACAGATTCTTGAGATAGCTTTTCAGTGAGAAACACTTTCTCTTGAGATGTTGAAATAGCAGAAACAATACAATACAATACGATTACTGATATTCTGATAGGAATTCAGGGATTCCAGGGTCTCTTTTGCCCACCCAACGCTCTTTGTAATTATAATCATTCGAACTTCTAAGTCATCAAACCTTGCCTTTAAGGAATTCAATAAAAGAGTAAGTGCCGGCCTTCCTGAAACTGCCACACCCTCTCATCTTTCCCTCCTTGGACCTCCAAAAGTCCTTGGGCATCTCTGCCACTCACATGGCCACTTACGCGCCATTGTATACTACTCTGTTCTATTATTTGAATTTTATAGTTACCTCCCTTTACATTTCCCATCTGCTTTGCCTTATCTGTGAAATAACTTTTATTAATTTAAGAGTGAACATTTTTTAAAGCAAGGCTTTTACTACAGTTAAGTAGTTTTCTCATTCAGCAATCATTGATGGTCTCCTTAAAAAGTTATTGGGTAAGATTGTTAACTTTTGCTGGCACTAGATTGAATATGAGGAATCTAGTATTCAAGTTCTCTGGATTTAACTCAGCCACTTATTAAGGATTAAAATCTGTTCTTCCAGGAGTGGATAAAAGGGAAAATAAGTGGATATTTAAATAAGGGTTTTATATTCTTATTTACAAGGCTCCGTGGGCTCTTTTTTTCATGAAGAAAAGATCTTAGTGTTAAATGATACATGTAGCTGTGTGCAAATAAATAGTATAATTGGATAACTCTTCAAGAGAACACTACAGATACTCATGAAAATTTACTTGGTCATAAATACAATGTTGATATCATTCTTCAGATAATAGAAAATAAAGCAGCCTAACCAGATAAATAAATTTGAAGGCCTCTTTGTTTTAAACCCTAAAATTGAACAGTCTAACCAGCAGGTAAAATGCAATGGAACAGACTTGATAGTTTAGAATGGTGTTGTTTCAAAGTAATGAAGTGACTGAAATTCATCATAGACATAACTTACAAAAATTGATACCTGAAAATGACATGCAGTTCACTAACCTAGTTTCTATAAAAACTATAACAGCAGCAGGGATAAGTGCCTTTTTAAGATTACTTATTATGTGTGGCGACAAAAGCACATCGTTCTTAAATAATGGATACATCCCAGGAGATTTAAACGGCCTTCATTTCTAAGATCTCTTGTTAGCTCATAGTTTTATTTCTCTCTCTTTTTAACCCCTAACATTCAACAATTAATCATTTTTTATCTTTCGAAAAGGCATGAACAGGCTCTGGAAATATTTAAGGGAAAGGTAACCCAGTCCCTTTACATAAAATTGTATAGTCCAAAGGTCAGAGTCCAAATCTCCCAATCCATTGAAATTTACTTAAGAAGACAGATCAGTTTTGTTTGCAAAGTACTCATTCCTCCAGGTTATTTAAAACCATTACATTCCACCTCCTGTTTTTACTAAACAAAAATTGCTGGTTTGTTTCTGGAAGTGTTGCCTTCAATTATCAGGAATGCTCTGACAGGACTGAAGAGAGGCCTCCACAGTAACACTCCTGAGAAGAGGCAGGAGGGAATAAGGGATTCAGTCTCTGAGTATCTTGGATCTGCTGTTTGATCTGAGGGAAACCAAGCAACTTCTCTGAATCTCAGTTTTCTCAGCTTTTAAATGGGCCCAATGTTTTTCTCTGCTTCTGGGGACTAAGACATTACAAATGAAATAACACATTTGAAAATATCTGATACACAATAGGCAGTTGACAAACAGTAGTTGAATGTTAATAATTTTAATGAACGAATCACACACCTAATTTAAATATGTACAGATATTCAAAAAGCGATAGTCAAGTACTCATAATACACCATTTCATTTTATTCATTCTTCCCTAAGTGCAATGACACTTTCACTTTAATTCCATCTTTTTTTAAATGTGCGATTTCTTGAGATTTCTGAAGGTAGTAAACCAAACATGCTTTTTTATTTAGATATTTTAGTTGCATACTGTTTTCTTCAGGATTATTTGCGAAACTCAAGAAAAACCATTTCCTTCAGCAAATAATCTTGTACATGTGAGAGTACTTTCATTTTAAAGGCACTTTCACATCTATTATTTTATCCTTTCAACTCACTGAAGTAGGTAGGGGTGCTTCCATTAGCCCATTTTATAGATGAGAAAACTGAGGCAAGTCCTTTTAACTAGCTAGAACTGGTTTTCCCTGTAGGTAAAAATGGAAGTGATTCTAGCATTAGCTCATGCAGTATAAAATAGAGCCCTTTATAGTTAGTAAGATATTTACATTCACTGATTTCATTTCAAGTAGATAAGGCAAAGATTAATATCTTTGTTTTAGAAATAAGGGTCCTGAATTTTGGGAAGATAAGAAATCTGCTTTAAGTTGGAGGTAAGGCAATTCCTGAAGCACCACTAGAATTTCAGGTCTATTAATTTCCAAACCAAGATTCTTCACTTAAACGCAAGGTCTCACCCTCAAAGGTGCTCAGAAATTCCTGTTTCTCAGCAGCGGTTTCACAAAGTAATTTAAGACTAGGCAATTAGCCTCACATCTTTATTTAAAAAACAGAAGTTTAGTTTTGTTTTGCCTCTTGTTATAGGTTTGGAAAGGAATGACATTGTTGCACCTTGTGTCACTGAAAGGGAAGATTGGGGTTCATTATTTTCAAGCAGTTAATTGTTACAAAAAGGGAGCTTTAGGAACACAAAAACAGTAGTGTTAGTGTAAAGCAACCTGTCTCATGTCAATATTTTTATCTTTCTAGAGGCAGTAATCTTTTCTTTAGCTAGAAATTAGGTCAGTTAAGAGCCAACCTTATGATAATCCGAACAGCTAATGTTGTTTATTTAAACAACCAGAATCTAAAACGGATGGAGGAATTTGCCAATAAAGTGGAGAGTTTGTCTTTAGAAAAGGTACTAGAACACAGCTGATGGCACAAAAGGAGACTGATACTGCCACCTTGTGTCATTGTAGAAAACTGCTATGGCTCCTAAAGAGAAAATTGTCACAACTGGCGGTTGGGGAATGGTTTGAATGAGAATTCAGAATTTTACAGCTATGTGAAATAATAGCCAACAGTTATTGAAATTTTCCCTACCCAGGAATTATCATTCATGCAACAGATATTTACCTGTGCACTTACTATATACCAAACATTCTTCTAGGAGCTAGTGATACAGTAATGAACAAAACAAAAATTCCTGTACTCATTGAGGCTTTAGGTCTCTATTTTGTATGTATGAACTCATTTAATATTCTAAACAACTCTATGAGGAAGGTTTTCCCTTTTTACAGATGAGGTTCCTAGGACACAGGAAGGTTAAGGAACTGGTCTAAGATTACTCAGCTACTAAGTGATAGAGCCTGGATTTGAACCAACGCAGTCAGATACAAGAGCCACCAAGACTTTAATCATCTATCTATACTGAATAAACTTTGTCCTCTGTCT